AAGGTCACAACTGAGTGTGAAAAACAGTCATACGTCAGTTTTTTTCAGTGTCGTTACAACTTTGAACAGTCACTAAATAAACCATTGTAAATCAAGGACCACCTGTATGGATGATCTTCCTCTTGAACAGTAAATATTCTCTTGCCTCCCATAGACAGATATACACACACATATACACCCATTAACGTTTTCTCGGTCACTTATTACAGTGGCTTCCCTTATTCTGTGATCATCAGATAGTGCTGTGGTTCGCCAGCAGCAGGTGCAGATGGTTGAGGTCTCGGAAAGCGAGGACTTGGATGAGGGGCCTGCGTGTGATGCAGGGATGGGGCCAGGACCATCAGGGAGTGGAATGCTGCATTTAGAGATTGTGGATGCTGGCAGCAGTGAGGAAGAGATCCCTGAGGAGCCTGTGCCCAAGTGCACATGAGTGCAGGGCTGCTCAAAGGAAAAAGCAGCTACAGCAGCACGGGTGACTTGGGAGTAAGGCTTCAAGGTAATGGCCCCTCCCTTAAGAGATAAAAACCAGCCCAAGAGACTGGGATTCTTTGCAGGAAGCAAAGAAGTTCTTGCACTTCAAGCCTTGTGGACATTCGGATTATCCTGGTTTGTGTTTGGAGACTTTTTGTTTTGAATATTTCTTGGCTATTTTATCTAGTGTTCTTGGCAGTCTTGCACAACCTTGGCAAGGCTATCAGAGACAATTAGTTTTCATAACTGTGAATGAATGGAATTCACAGAGAAGCTTTAAGAGGTTTTACTTTTACCTCTGTTTGGTGTTTGTTTCCTTGGAACAAGGTTTGGGTCAGAACAGATAGCATTCCCTTGCATGAGAACTTCAGATCTTCGGCTCCACTTTGTTGGCCTATGTATCATCCATCCCCGCCATGACTTTTATCTCCTGCAGAAAGCTGCAGAAGAAGAAAAAGACAGGACAGCAGAAGGGAACAATGGAAGGAGGGGAACAGGCAGCCCTCCCTGTGCAAAAGGAGAAGTATGGTATTCAAAAGGCATCAGGATGGACTCCACTTTGCATGGACCAGGGATTCTTTGTCGCCTGCGTACAAAACCCTTGTCTTCTCTGCCACCTCCTGCCAGATCTCTTTTCATTGGAGAAAGCAATGGAGTAGAACCTTCCTCCTTGCAAAGCTCCCGTTACAGGGCTTTGGCCTCTCTGCTCATCATCCTGAGCTAGCTGGGGATTCTGGGAACACTGGCATTGAGTTTCAGGGAGGTTTTCAAAGGCTTGGCTATAAATAACTGGCAGCAAATTATATTTCATGGTGGATTTGGCAGAGGTCCTTTTCAAAGTTCACCTGCAGCGGGTTTCCTCATTGAAGGCAAGCTAGACTGGCAGGGGACTAATGGCATTATGAATAATGAATTATTAATGACTAATGGTGGCAGAGAAAATTCCTGCATGGAGTTAAAGTGGAACAAAACGGCCCCTTCCCAACTCAACTCAACTTCCCACAGTAGGAATCAGCTGCTAATATATCGGTCTTGCATTGTGCTGATTGATACACATGTAAGTTTGAGCTGGACAGTTTCCTTGCTATGTTTCGATTCAGAACGGAGGCCCTTTGATATTGCAGAGTTTTTAATGAAACTGCCCATTCTCTATGTTGATATGTTTTGTGGCACACGACCCAGGGTTCCATCCTGACTGTGATGCTGAATGGATGAATGCTGCACAACTTTGGTTTTATCTATATATGTATTTCTATCCTGCTTTATTGTTTTTTATAAACAAATCAAATGGACCGATATATCTAATACTCCTCCCTCCTCCTATTTTCAGCCCTGTGAGGTGAGTTGGACTGAGAGAGAGTGAATGGCCCAAAGTCACCCAGTCAACTTTCCTTTCTAAAGCAGAACTAGAACTCACAGTCTCCTGCTGACTGGCCCAAAGTCACCCAGCTGGCTTTCCTGCCTAAAGTGGGACCAGAACTCACAGTCTCCTGGTTTCTAGGCCAGCATGCTAGGCTCTCAAACTGGCTTTCTTGGAAACTTACTTTTTTCAGGCTACAGTGACAAAAGAATCTGCTCAGGGAAGTCAAAAAAGTCAAGATGGTTGCTGTGATGATTGAATCCTTGCATGCAACCACGGTCTGTGGGAGAAAAGGAAGCAAGGCTTCAATCACACCCTTACGGCTGCCATCTTGATGGCTCTGAATGAAAACAGTCTTTCCTTCTGTTGCCATGCCTTACTATGGATTTGCTTTGCCAAGGGTCCAGCAGCGACCAGATGCCAGAAAAATGGTTCTTTTTAGGAACTAGAGACAATGATTACACAGGTAGGTAAGGAGAATTTTAGGTTTTACTGTTAAACTGCAAAAAGTAATTTGAACAGAAAGAGCCAAAAAGTAATGTACCGATCAAGATTCCCTCCCTTCAGCTACTGGGAACCCCATTTAAGAAGCAAAGATACTCCAAGGCCCTTAATGCACAGCACAGAGCTTTCAAGCCCGTGCAGAAGCTGCATCTTAATGAGCAATTTTCAATAATTTTGACCCTAATATTTCATGGCCTTGCTTCTCTGGTTATGATATGGCAAAATCTAACCTTGGTTAGACAACTCCAGAATGGGGGACTAAAAGTTTAATAAGGCAGGGCTCTCTGCAGTTGAGTGAACCCCCCCCCGCCCCCCTATATCTATATCTGTCTGTCTGTCTGTCTGTCTGTCTATCTATCTATCTATCTATCTATCTATCTATCTATCTATCTATCTATCTATATCTTGATATATATATTCATATATATATATATGAATGAAAGAAACCAATGAGTACAGAATAATCTATGAGCTTCTGGACCAGGGATGGGCACTTAATTTTCCCAAGGGGCCACATGAGAAACTGAGACTGTTGTGGAGGGCTGAACAAATGCAACCTGATTTGATGTCCTCAAACTCCATCAACTCCTCAGGCTACTCCAGGCAAGGGATGAGCACGTTACAGGCACAGAAAAGCACCTTCTCTCTTCCTCTTTCAGGGGCTACCGGCTGACTGAAGGAGTACATGGTAACTGTGTAGAGCCAGGCATGACTCGCTTCTTCTCCTGCCCCTACAATACCCTTATTTACAAAAAAACTTTAAACTTAGACCTCACCCCTTTCCTAAGAGCTTTGTAGGGGGTGTGCATAAGCGCACCAACCTGCCTATTGTCCCTGTCCTATTGTTTCTTTTATTTTTTTTTATTTTTCTTATATGTATCCATGTATTCATAATTATGTTTTTACTTATACCTATTATCTTGTAAGCAACTGACAAAAATAAATAAATAAAATAAATACATTTGATTTCTAATTTTTGTTTGACCTCACATGGGCAGGACAGGAAAACGGAAAGGCCTGATGTGGCCCAGGGGCCATAAAATGCTGAGGTCCATTCTAGACATTTCCTAATATGAAGGGGAAATCAAAATATTTCACCAACTTCTTGAAATACAATTTTATTTAGCGCATGGCATGTTATGTTAGCCAGGAGGCTACAGTGTTAATACAAAGTACAGTAGTTGTTTGATTGAATACTCATTTGTGTAGTTTAGAAACACTCCCATGAATATCATTCTCATCGCTAAATCCTAATATAACATGGTTTCACAGGATATTTTAGAATTTCCGAGTTGAAAAATGGAACCCTACACACACACTCTCCCATTTTATAAATGCCTTGGTATCCCTCTCCATCTTCCTTCCTGCTCCAAGTTACGTAGGGCTGGCTATTTATTCTGATGCCTATAAATGCCTGTGAGGATGAGTTCTCCAAGCTTGTGGGTTGGTTTCCAAATGTTTTGTTACCAGGCGAGGTAACATCTTCAGTGGAGTTTATGGGATGCCAGTGTTCTTCTGTTTATAAGGGTTTCAGGTGTGGGTGTGCCAAGGGAGGATCTTCTGATGGGTCAGCAATGAGTCATCAGTGGGTCCTGTGATGGGTTTTGTGATGAGGAGATTACATCAGGTCAGGGAACCCCACCTCCCAATGACCCTGACCTGATGTTATCTCCTTATTACAAAACCCATCCCAAGACTCACTGATGACTCACAGCTGACCCATCCCAAGACCCTCACTTGACACACCCACATCTGAAGAACACTGACACTGAGTTCCCTTAAACCAGGGGTCAGCAACCCATAGCTCCAGAGCCACATGCGGCTCTTTTGGTCCTCTGCTGTGGTTCCCTGTCAGCAGATCCCACCACTGGCTGGCCCCTTCTCTCTCACCTGGCCTGAGAAGGTGATAAGGGTGATGGTGGGGGATGGAAACTCACTGCATATTCCAAAGCAGGTGGTGACTGGGTGGGAGTGAGTGACATCGAGTTGGCCACACCCACCCAGTCACACCAGTTGTTAAATTATTGGCTCCCAGTGTTTTCTTTTTTGTGGGAAACATGTCCAAATGGCTCTTTGAGTGTTTAAGGTTGCAAGTCCCTTCCCTAAACTCTGCTCAAGATGTTACCTAGCCTGGTAATGAAATGATGAGAAACCAACCCACCATCTTGGAGAACAAGCCTTCATCCTACACCCAAGCTACCGATATTTGCCACTATTGCAAACCTCTGAGAGTCTTCACGTGATCCTGTTTTTCTTCAGATCTCTTCTCAGATACATTTTTTATAATATCTTTGACACATTTCATTAGTCCCATATGAAAGTTGACCCTAACTAACATGTCACTGTGATATAAGGAATGCTTTCGACAGTTCAATTCCATTTCATCCTCCCTTCTCTTCTACCATTCTGAGGACCCCCCTGGTTTGAAAATTACAGTGAAGGCTTGGGTGGTGGGGGCAGAAAACTGTTTCATGTGCCTTTTGCAAAAGTGCATAAGCATTGCTGTGGCTGATGCTGATATCCTGATTAAATACCCATACGACTGGAATGGTATGTTGCATTATGAGAAGACATTTGCACAGATTTTCTCTAGTGAGAAGGTCTCCACTTGCTCCCACAGCTTTGAGGCTTGCACAGCTGTTCATGGTTCTTTCCATCTTTTTAGGTAATGGTGTGCAAGAAGATCAGAAGGTGAAAACTCAGTGGCCACGATCTGCAGATGAACCGGGAGTCTATATGGCACAAACAGGTAATACATTCTGTCATCAGGTCATGGTTGAACATTTCACCAAATATTCTTTCTAGTTGGTTTAGTTTATTGATTTTAGTTTATTGATAGGCCACATCAGAATACAGAGTTCTGAACACACATTATGACTAAAGTCCTATATTTTTTAAAAATGAAATTGGAATAAAATACAATTTAAAATGAAATTCCAACAAAATACAATTATTAAATCTATAGATATGTAAAATAAGATAAAATTATATTTCAGTCTTACAATCTACCCCCAATCAGTCCCACATATGCTGATCTCAGCCGAACTCTGCTAAACAAATAATTCCTTCAACATTGTTCAACTATTTACAAAGTGTACACTACTATTACTGTTAATCTTCTCATCACTCCTTATCACCCATTCCCTCCCACTTGTGACTGTAGGACTGTAACTTTGTTGCTTGTATCCTTACAATTTATATTGACTGTTTCCTAGTATGATTTGATTATTGATTGTACCCTATGACTATCATTAAGTATTATACATTATAATTCTTGATTCTTGATGAATGTACCTTTTCTTTATGTATACTGAGAGTATTTACACCAAGACAAATTCCTTGTGTGTCTAATCACCACTTGGGTAATAAAGTGTTCTGTTCTGTTCTATTCTATTCTATTCTATTCTATTCTATTCTATTCTATTCTATTCTATTCTATTTCTATTTCTATTTCTATTTCTATTTCTATTCTATTTCTATTCTATTCTATCTGAATTTTACTCAAGCATTGTGCTTAAATTTTCCTGCTGAAATTGAAATATGAAATTTGCATATTTTTGAACAAGGAGAAAAAAAATCCTGCAGGCATAATCTTAAGATAGGCTTAAAAAAATAGAAGAGGAGCCTTCCACTTGAGCTCAGTTCCTTGCTGGGATTGGCTGTAGCCTTCTTCTGAAGTGCTTTCTCACCTTTCCAGTCTAGCCTACAGCCTGGGGATTTCCTAATAGGCTTCCACGTGAGAGCTGACTAGGTCAGAGCGGCTCAGGTTGCTTGAGAATTAGCCAGCCTTCCCAATCCAATACATGAATAAAATAAAAAATAAATGAGTAAGTCTGTTAAGTGCTGCTTCGTGCCTGAATTGAAGAAAGGTGGGAAGGGAGGAAGAAAAGGAAGGAAGAGTGAAAGAGAATTAAATAGGAAGGAAGGAAACACAGAAAGAGGCAGGCAGGCAGGCAGGAAGAGTATGGGAGAGAGAAGAAGGGAGGGAGGAAGGGAGGGGAAGGGAGGGAGGAAGGAAGGAAGGAAGGAAGGAAGGAAGGAAGGAAGGAAAACAAGGAGAAGGAAGGAAGGAAGGAAGGAAGGAAGGAAGGAAGGAAGGAAGGAAGGAAGGAAGGAATCTTGAACTTTCATCCTCTCCCCACCCATTTCAGGCCTTACTGCCATCCCAAAAGGTCTGTAGCCCTGAGAGTTGTTGTCCATGCTGACCTAAAAAACATGCAGTGCACATTTGGAAAACCATTGAGGCAAAACATACTAAGAATTTTAAATTATGTGATGATGTAAAGATGAATATGATAATATTTCTGGCTTCTAATTGGACCAGCACATAAATAGCCTGGATCTAATTACATTAGATAGCTCTGCTAAGGGAGACTTAAGTAGGGAAGAAACTTTCTGGAGCTCCCAAAGAGCCAGTATGTTTAATTATATTATGATTCATATTTATGCTCCTTTAATAACCTATTTCTGTATCAGAAATTACCCTGACAATGACCACTTCTCATTATATCCAGTCAGTGAATCCTAAAGTAACTACAGTATTTCTAGTTGTAGTTCATTTGTCCCATTAGGACCATAAGAGAAGTATGGCTTTTGAAGGAAACTTCCTTCTGGACATTAGGTTTTGATTTGGTTTGAAAGACGTTTCCAAGACTTCAGGGAGTAAACTTCCATCAGCTCAGGTTGGAACTAAGTCAGGAATTGTAAGCATTTCTAGAAAACAACTTGAATCCCAGCCAGAATTTTAATGGAGTTTTAATCCTGACTGTTAACAGATTGTTCTGGTTTGACAGCTAATGCTAAGCAGGCAAATTCTCCATTGTTCTTTGCCAGATTGTCTCCTTTCCTCTCCTCTCCACCTCTTCCCCTCCCCTCTCTTCCCCTCATCTCTCCCCTCTCTCCTCCTATTTTCCCCTCCCCTCCCCTCCTATCATATCCATATCCTCCCATCTGTAAAACTCTTTGATTTGTACAGTCATGTACAGTTGAAGAGCTTCAGAGACGTTCTTAGGACTGGAGCATAATTTTCTTGTATTTATTTAGTCATGAAAGGATGTGCCTGACTGTCATGTCATTCACTGTGGCAGTGTGCAGCCTCTTTGGCTTCCCACATTGCCATTCTTTTCCCAGGAAGAATCTCAAGAGAATGATTCTCTGTAACTGTGCAACTTCCACCACTGAGTGGGAAGTTTTGCTTTTACAAATTCTTGGAGTATTTCCTCCTCCTCCTCCTCCTCCTCCACCTCCTCCTCTTCCTCCCCTGATCTCTGCCTTCATCTGTGGTGGTTAAGTGGCAAAGTGCTGTTTGTCCAGACTCCCGTGTACCTGAATGATTCCTGTGTAAAATTCAATAAAATTACCCAAATAAGTCTTCCAAAGTCTAGTGAAATTCAGACTTTTTTTTTTCTCCTTGGCACTTTAAAGGTATGCTAAATCTGGAGTTTGTCTAGCCAAGAGTTAGGCACTTCCACATTTGGTAAGGCTCAGCATTTTGTCAAGGATTACCCTTTTTCTACACTTGTTCACACCGCTTATCATTCCTTTCAAGAGTATTGAGACTGACCAGGGTGAATTGAGACTGACCAGGGTGAAATTCTGGAATTTGTTCAGATACATGTGGAAGGCAACCAGTAACGCAGTATTTTTTTTTTCTTTTTTTACTTTTTCATTCCTAATGAATTCTAAAAACCTCTTAGAAGCATCTGCATTGTGAAATGCAAATTGGAGCATTTGCATTACTAAGAAAATTAGTTTCTGAAACAGACGGTTATGGAGTCTAACAATCTCACTTGCTTTGATGAAATTGGTGACCTTTTTTTTCAAATTGGTTCTTGGTATCTCAATTCCATAATGGCTGTGAGGACCAATCTTTGTGGACTCTGTGAATCTTCACTGCTCTGAGACCTGCTGGATGTAACAGGCCCGGGTCTGAGAACTCAAAAGGAAGGTTTGATATTTCAGATGTTGAAAATGTGAGTGTGGATGGAGATGTCCACCAGGGTGACTAAGGATGACAGTTTGTATCTGACACAATCCCAAAGGTGCTTTGTCAAAATAACAACTGGGCTTTCTTTGTTTTTGCTTGAAGATGTTTCACTTCTCATCCAAGAAGCTTCTTCAGTTCTGATTGAATGGTGGAGAAGGGAAGGATATTCCATTCAATCAGAACTGAAGAAGCTTCTTAGATGAGAAGCAAAACATCTTCAAGCAAAAACAAAGAAAGTTCAGTGGCCTTTTAAAAAATAATATTTGGAAACAACGATGACCTGGATGACTGAGAAACTCCATAAACATTAGACTCAGTCAGACTCAGACAGGGATGCTTGAAGTGAAGCTGCCAATCTCCCCTCTCCCTTTTTATTGGATCGCATTTTCAGTTGTGGAATTGAGCATGAGTTTCAAATTTAGAAAATGCATCCATTGGCATGGTTCCCCCTCCCCTCAAAAAAAAAAAAAAGGAAAAAAAGGAAAAGAAAGACAGGGAGAAAGAGGTCAACTTGTGACCTCTTCCTGCAGCTTAGAGTTGTTCAAAGGTGACCACTTTGGGAGAGAAGAACGCCAGCTCTTTAGCTTAGTAGCTTACTTAGCCCTGGAAGACGCTCTTATTTCTCAGTGCCTCCTTGAGCCTTAATAATCAGATACAATTTAATTAAGAAGCAGGCTCCAATGGCTGTGAAGCTGCATCTCATCTTCAATTCCGGTTGGTCCCCGGGGGACCATCATCTTCATGGCGACAGCAGATTGAGGAGAGGCAAGATCCTCTTCCTTCCTCGTGCTCCGCCCCGCCTCTCCCCAGTGCAACTGAGTTTAATTTGCTCCATTTATGTGTTCTCTTAGTGCCTTCCTTGGAGACCTATAAAGAAAACAAATGTATTAATTGTTTAGCTTCTATGTATTTATTTAGCAAATTCATCTGGGTAATGTGAATGCCAGTCATTCTGCCTCTCCCCTATCCTTCTCCTTGTCTTTGATTTATAGTTTCCAAGCCGTTGTGTGCCTTGCAGCAGAAGACAAATGGTGCAAAAAATCCAGGAGTTTGGCAAGATGGGCTAGGCCAGATGTGCAAATACAGATACAGGGTAGTTTTTAAGCCTTGCTATCTGTAAGCTAGCAGGATGTCTACATTGACGGAAAGGTCAGGCACCAGCTTAGCACACAATAGCTCTGGATGAGGAATATCTCTGTGGTCTTTCTTTGGGGGAGGAATGTAGCAAGGAGAGGATTGGGGTCTTTTTGTCCTCCTTATCAGTAATAAAAACAATTTCCCCCTTTTATCAGGACCAGCACCAATTTCTAGCATGAAGTACAGTGTTTGGCTGCATTTTAGAATAGGGCAGAAAACAATCATGAATAATTAAACCTGATTCAGGATGAGAATGATAACAAAATAAAGAAAAATAGTTTTTGTCCCCTGGACTATCTCCAGCTGTGTAGTAGAATCAGGACTCTATTTTCTATTTAAGAGGAAGTGAAATTTAATAATGAAGGCTTTATTTTGCATCCCTGAAAGAAGGCATGGGAGGAAATGAAGGCAAGCTGAATGTCCCAAGATCTTCCTTAAACCATGGGGTCT